TGCTGAGCTCCTGGAGTGGGCTGCCCAGTGATGCCCTGTAGCAGACACCACAGAGTCAGCCCCCAGGTTTGCAGTAACACTTCCTCCCAGCACGTTAAACAGGGTCTTTGTGCCCCATGGGGACATCCCTTAGTGACACTGCTCATAAGTCATGTCCACATTTCTGTGCCTATCTGTCTGTCATACATGCACAGATTGTTGGTTTTCTGCTTTATTACAAAGTAGGTAGAACAGCTGGTACTCAAGTGTTTGGGCATCTGGAAAATTACAAAATTCAGGTAAATGCAGGTGTAGGAAGAGGATTGCCTTTTCTTCTGTTGTGATTACTATTTAAGAAGATCTCTTGATTCTATTTTTTTCTGAGAATGTGTTGTACATAGTGATGACTTTTGAGTACACATTATTCTATGAAGTATTTATGCTAATTTGCTGAATTCTAAGGCAAAGCTAATTACAGCTCCATTAACTACTAACAATGCACTTAAACCCAATCATAGATCTATATTCAAAAGTGTAAGTTCGGATTGTGCTGGTGGTTCTCTATAATAACTGATAGCAGCTACCAATAACCATAAGGAAAATGGTTTAAGTGGTTGCAAGTGTAAATAAATGAGGCAAGTCCTGTGTTTCTTATTTTATTGAGACTTTTTTTCCCCACCAAAGTTTTCTGGAGTTTTTGTATTTGTTTCTTTGGTGAACAGACTTCAAAATGTCTCATTTTCAACAAAAGTATGAAGCCATTGATTGTGACTGATTGCTTCTTTAAAATAAGAGAATATATTTGAAATACATTTTAAAAAGTAAAATCAACAGTGTTGTAATCTCTGTCTTGCTATAGAGGTAAGGTTAAAAATCAACACAGGTATGTAGCCCTGATCTTCCACAAGCTTATCTTCAAAAACATATAGTGGCTGAAGAAATCTGGAAAAAATGGGCATCCTATGCATTTCCACAATTAGTGTCTGTTAGCTTCCCTTTCAATGTCTCAGACTGCCTGTACAGTGTGGTTATATGGAATTGTTGACATGAAAATGAGTGATGGATGTGGATGCTTGCCAGGTTATTTCATTCAACCAAATAGAATAATTGGAAAAATGTGTTTACTGCAGTGTCAGGTATCAAAAAAATTAAAACTGTAGGTTCAGTTTACAAGGAAAGGAGTAAAGAAGTATGAAGCAAAGGATTTAGATATCTGTGACTAACCCACAGCTCCTTCTGTGCTTGTGCATGAGGGTAAATATGGTTCTTGGGAATATAAGCAGGGAAATAGCAAAGAGTGCCAGAGGTGACTAGAGCAGATGTCGCGGTGTGTCAGGACCCCAAGGGGACCACCAGCCCCGACTGTCCCTGTCCACAGCCCAGCACCCCATTCCAGCCTCCCAGACCATCATTCCTGGCCCCAGTGACACCACAGCAGGGCTGGTCTCCAGCTCCCCACAGCCCTGGAGTGCCCAGTGCTGGGGCTGGGGCTCAGGCTGGCTGCCCCAGTGCCCCTGGCTGTCCTGCAAGGCCTTGCACTGCCAGCCTAGGGTTTACTTAAAATCTTTAAACCAAAATACAGTAATTTTCTAAAATAAATACTTCGAATGAAACAAAACTGTGGGCTCAATGCACAAACAGTGAGGTGAAATTCTGCCGTGTCTCTCATGCTGGAGGATGGTATGGCTGGTTGTAATAGTCCCTTCAGCCTGAAAGTCATTGTATTTGTGTTCATGTATATTTAGCTTGGTCTTTGCATGGCCCACTTAAGCCAACGTACCAAATCTGACGTGGAAAGCTGACACTCAGTTTTAGTTGCCTGACAGTGTCTCTGAAATTCTTATCTGCTATAAAATTGCCTTCACTTAACTAATGTATTAATTAAACTGGAGAATACCTATGTTTTATTTCTCTCCCCTGAAGACTTCTGCTGCTGTTCTGGGGACAGCAGTTTGGCATTTGAGGCCTGATGGCCATTTTGCAGAGAGCTGTTAACCTGTTCCTTTTGCTTGCACAGGCTGTGGCAGGGGATGTTCAGACCTCATGTGCTGCACACACATAGCACAACATAGCCCTGTTGCAAAAAAAGCCCCAATACTTGAAGTATGGAAACATTTTTAGACCACAATAATCACACTTTCCATCCTTATTTTCAAAAAACATTAATCTTGTACCATCTTTTGTCAATAGCAGTTAAGTCTTTAGGTGGAGGGGTGTACAGCTACAACAGCAGCGAGTATATGAATGAAGCTGGAATCAGCTGTCCAAAAATTACTTTTAAAGGATCATTCCTGAAGTTGTAGATGAAGCAATATATCTAAGTAACAGTTAGGTGGGCAATCAGCAGCTGAGATAAAGACCGACCAACATCTCTAGAACAAGCTCGTTGCCTATTGTAGATCCTTGCACAATTTGGCAGATCTCAGAAATTATATTATAGTTGAAAACAAGTCTGTTCGCCAGGTATCCTACAGTCCATGGAGGAGTTTCAGTGACCCATATACATTCAGTTCCCTTAAGTTTCAAGTGTTCACAGACTCATATGCTCTTTATTCAGATCACCTATTATAATCTTCCCAGTTCTCCATTTAAGGCTGGAACACGTCTGGTTTTTTTCAGTGATGGCTTTTCCCCTCCCAGCTGTTACATTCCTTTCTTTATCTTTCTAGTCACTTTTTCCTCAGCTTTCCTTATCGCTTTCTATTTGTCTAGGGAGTCTTAAACTTCATGGTGACAGATTCACTTTGTACTGCTTTATTAGTTTTTTAATAATTGTAGTCAGTGAGAAGTAGCTAATGTTCATGCCAGCTGCAAGCTGCTTGGCCTACACAGTACTGTATCCAGTGAGCAAAGCAGCTTGGAGATGGGTGAGAACACAGGCGCAAAAGATGCAGAAATTAGACTAAAAAATCAAAGTGAAGGTTCTGGTACTTGCCATCTTTAACTAGAATTGGCCAGCTTATGTATTTCTTTTTGCGGTTTCACATGGCACTCCTGTAAACAGTACTTTTATATATAAAAGTGGGGGGAGGGTTTTCAATTTCTTGCAACACATTACGCTTTTTATCTCTTAGACTGAGCAATTTGGTGAGTACCACAATATCAGGTATTCTTCCTACCAGAACCAAAAAGGCTTCCCTTCAATTTTTCATAAAGCAACAGCCCAAAATAAATTGTATTTCAGGAAACAACAGAGTGATGTGTTTATGGTTTTGGGGTGGTCTTTTTCCTTCCTCTTGGCAGGAAGGGGGCCACAAAGTTTTACACTGTAAATATGTCTGAAAGAAAAAAAAAAGGAGTTTTATTTCTTCAGTGCAACTGAAATCTAATTTAAACCACAGTACATTTGTTATACAGTTCTGGAATGGAATTCAGCAATTAAGAAGTCCTTTCTTATTCAGGTTAGCCAATACACATTTGCAATGTGCAGTTACAGAGAAAAGAAATCTGAGCCTCAGGAACTGATGCAACTCGAAGGATACACTGTGGATTATACAGCTCCTCACACAGGTACTTTTCATGATTTTGAAGTATGATCCTGAACCATGGTTTGTTTGTGTAAAGCAGCTGATTCAATTTCCTCGTTTTGATCTAACAGAAAAAAAACCCAAGGTTCTTTAGCAATTACTCCACTAGGGCATTCTAGTGTGAAAAATTATGCTTTTAGAAAGAAGTTTGTTGCAAGACTAATGAACAATAAACCTTACCCTAAAGTTTCCTGAAACATTGTAATACCATATATGATACAAGATAAAAATTACGAATTCTAGTCAGTCTTTCCCTTTTCTGTTTCTGATGGTGGTGGCATGTGCTGTGAAGTATGTTAACAAATAATTTAGAAAAGAAGGTGAATAAAGACAAGTTATTCAGAGTAATCAAAAATAAATTTGAAGATACCAGAAAAATCTCCACAAGTTAGTATTAAAGTGTTGAAGGAAAATCAAAGTTACACATGCAGAGAAAAAAGATTTTACCTATGCAGTGGACGGTTATGAAATTAAGACTTCTAAATTATCGAACATTGATATTTGGAAGCATTGGCTCAATGCTTAGAATAAGTGAGAAGGCAAACAATGCTCAGAAGGTGTCCGGAAAACCAAAATACTTCTGTCATTAAAAAATCCCCAGCACAGCCAGATTGACAGTTGTGTGCTGGTCTGGTTATATGCTCTCAGAAAAAAAAAAAACAAACTGAAATGAGAAGACTAAGGAAGGAACAACACTGATAAGAAGTATGGAGCTGTCTCTGCTCAGTAGTACAGGGAGTTCCAGCTAAGAACATTATGCCAGAAAGGAGGAGAGGTTAGAAAAATACGAAAGAGAATATGATACAGAGAAGAACATAAAGAAACAAATTGGAGATGAATTGAAAATGGAATAATATAAATATTTTTTCCTGTGACTTCAATATTTATTGTACTTATATGTTACTTCCATGTATTACCATTTGATCCTTATAGCTCTAGATTTTATCATATTTCCGGGTAATAAATAACCTATACAATACTAAAAAAAATAATGTAATAAACATTGATGGTGATTTAGAAGTAACTTGTATTTATGAAGATTACCTTCTTATTTACTGCTTCAGGTCTTCAGGGTGGTCGAATGTTTTTCAATGCCGTTAAAGAAGGTGATACTGTGATATTTGCCAGTGATGATGAGCAGGATAGAATACTCTGGGTTCAAGCTATGTACAGAGCCACGGGTCAATCATATAAACCTGTTCCTGCAAGTCAAGCTCAGAAGATGAATCCTAAAGGAGGCAGTGTCAGCACAGATATATCCCCACTTTGTAAGTTGACTTTCGTTTTCTTTTATGGTTTTGATTTTGGTTTTAGCTTGTAAAATATCTAGCAGCTCCCTCAATGAAGTTTAATTAAGCAGAGCATATTCACTAGGCAAATGTGCCTAGCAGTTTGTTGTTAGCCAGAAGCTCTTTAACTCAGATTATTATTAACAGTGAGGGAAATCCTGACTTGCAGGTCATTATTTTTATTATAATCCATGAAAATGCAGCAATTAGCTTCATATTCATTACAATTGACCCACATATTACCATGGAGACAGTGTTTGGTTTGCATTATATTTTTCAGTAGCCAGCCAGTGTAGTATTGAATAGCAAAACATCAATCAATTCTCAGAATTTTTATAGATTTAGGTCAGCTGTATCATATATTGTATATGTTAGTTATCTAAAAATTGCTGTGCATTGTGGTTTGAAGGGCACTAGATGGACTGCTGGATTTTTTCAGCACACAGTGTAATAATAAACTTCATATAAAAATTTTTAAACATTGTTGAGGTTTAAGTTTTCCTTATCTTTCTTTGAGGAAAATACTGACCCAAACCCATTCTCCTCCCTCAGTCCTGCTATCACTCGGTCTCACTGCCTTCCATTCATCCTGTAATCTTAGATCATTCTGCTATTAGAAAACAGTGAAATTTACCTGTTAAACTCAGTAATATTTATCTAAAATCCTGAGTGGGCTGTCAAGATCATTGGAAAAAAACAAAGTTTAGTCTCACAAAAGCACTGACAACTGTTTTAATCTGTAAAAGAATTAATCTGAAAAAATTCATCACAGGGGCATTAAGGTGAAATGTTTTGTAGGATGGAGGCAACATTGCAAAAGCAAAGGTGGGGCAGTAGCTATGGAGTGCTTCTGCTCACCTCCTCTGTTACCTGCATCTGGGCTGGGTACTGGGAGCTCTCTGTGTTCCCTCGGTGCATCAGAAAGTATCAAAGTGACCATAGTAAGCAGTAGCCTCGGAATTGCTCCTGTTTATTGGGCACAAGGTGTACCTGGAAGTGAAAGCAACTAGAGAATTTTGACCACAGGGCAACAAGGGTTATAGGAAGAAAAAGGTACAAAAACCAATTGCAAGTTTGGATATATGGACATAATGTTTTCAGAGATAAAATTACTGATACTGGTAAAGAATTAAAGAACAAGATTGTCATGTCTTGATATTTTTTGAGACAATTTGTTAGGGTGACTACAGCTCTTAGGTGGAAACCATAGGAAAAAGAAGGTTTATTTTAAAGACATTTTAAGGGAAGCTCAAAAGCCTCAGAATATCATGTGTTTTCCTGTCATGCTTATGTATCAACTTGCACAAACTGCTATGACTAACTATATATAAATTAAAAATATGTGGTTAATTTATTATTTTCCTTTGGGTTTAGTGCACTTCAGTGTTGGTATTTTGTAATAATTCATAAAATAATTCATAATTCATATGAATACATAACGTTCTTTGCAATACAGTAACTTGTGAAATGCAATGTGAGGTTTAGAATCAATGTTTTACTGATTTCTGTAATATCCTATTTCTGTCTATGTGAGGGAGATTTTATTTTTCTGACTTTGCACTTTAGGTAAAAATAGGCATAATAAAATTAATCAGGTTTTAAGAAACTGCAGGGACTAGGATTTACAGATATAACCTTAAATAATTTTCTAAGACTCATACTTCATTTACATATACTGCATTGATTTTCTTGGGGCACGGTTTTATTTCTAAGAAGAAATGTGTTTGGTTTGCTGAGAAGTTAATTTTGTTTCCCTCTAGAAAAAAGTTTGTGTGAAGCTAAGAGTCTTTTATTTTTAATCAAGCTATAACACCAAGTACTTCAGAGCTCATATCTATATGAGTGAAATTCATTTCCAATTTTTTCTTCTTTACTATGATACATTTTTAGTGTTGGAAATAAAGTTATAACCAGATAATTTGTCAATTACAATTTTTGTTATTCTTATATTCCAATATTTAAGCAATGTTTAATATTTAATTTAATATTTAAACGATTTGCAATATTATCTTTCATAATTTAATCACTTCCATCCAATACAAGATCACATTGTTTTAATTTCTGCAGTATATCATACAATGCCACCTCCACATACAGAAAGCAGAAAACCAACTAGGGCTTTGCAAAACAAATGTCAGTTAATAATATTCAAGCCTTGAAAGCCCGTTCCCATCTTCTTCATCCTCTGGAAAGACGAGAGATCAACTTGCTCATCCTGGTAAAATTTACAAACTGCAGGATGTAGAAAAAAGTCAACTTAAGGAGACATGTTTCAATGTGTTTATAAAATATATTCTGTCATCCTGTCATTTTTTTGATATGTAAGAAAAGCAACTGAAAGTGGTCATGTAAGAAATTAAAACATGAGGTGATGATTAATATGCCACATACCTAGCTCTATTGAGGTTATTTTTTGCTAGTAATAAATACTAACATTGCCATTTTCCATTGCCTTGTAAACAAAATTCTGTCTTCCAAATTTAATGTTACATTATTAGCTGAAACTAACATTTATTAAATGCATGATTTTCCTTAAGCATATAACATTTTTAATCAAGTTATTTGTTTAAATGATAGTAAATGATAATTTTTGTCACAGCCTCACCTCTTTTCCATATTCTCAAGTTCAAAACTTTTGAAGAGTTTTTATGAGCTGTGGTAGAATTATTCCTGTGATCTATACAATGTAGATTGTATATACCTTTTGTATAAAAGAAAGTAGTAGAAAGGAAAGAGTAAGAGACTCCTTTTGCATAACAAAGGCTGTAATTTTTTGCACTTATTGGTGCTTGGTTCCACATAAGATAATTCATTGTACAAAAGAGTGCTTAAAGTTACATGAACAAAATCCAAGCATCTGGGATCAAGATCAAAGCAAACACATCAGGAACTCATGAAAAGAAATTAGGCGTGTGATGATAAGACGTCTAAGGTCTGCCTGATCTTTACAACAATTATCACAAATGCAGAAAATGAAAATGTTACTCTTGTGTGTGCACAGCAGCAGCACTCCAGAAGGGCAGCCTACAAATCTCTTAACTGATCCGAATATGCAAGCTCTTCTTGTTGGTGCTATATAGTAATTTGGGATAATTCATACAGGGAATTTAGAAGAAGCTTGATACTCTATACTACCAATGAGACAAATACACATTTAAGTGTGGCACTGGAATCAAACTACTATTGTACTTGTCCAGCTTTTGAAATATATACTAGCCAATTTCTTCATTTCTAAGTTAAGTATCCTGGTATTGGAGTTTTGTAGTATTAGGTGACTCCAAAACAAGTGAAGACAGGCTAATGTCAGCACTGATCAAGGAAAAGAGATTGCTCTTCAGTTCCTCTGTTCAGCATTATCATGTTGAATGCAAAGGACAGAGTATTTAAGGATGCATGTAGAAAAGCCAGAAGTTTGCCAGGGATATGAACGTTTCAGGGAAAACAGCAATTAAAAAAAGATTCACCTGAGTCACATAAAGGTTCAGGAAGTGACCCTTTTCTTAATGTGCAGTTTATTAGGAGATGTATTCATACAGTTGGAGAGGCTGCTGAAGTGCTGGACACTGCTAATAACTTGGTCGTAATGGAGGAGTTAACAGCACCACATGAGGGGATTGTCATGCCTTAATGAAGCAATACAAAGCTGAACATCATTGTGATCCTACATCCTTGTGAGTTCAGGGATGGTCTCTTTGTGAAAATGCTTGCAGAGAAGAAAGAGACACAGATACTGGAAAACCAAGTTAGGTGAGGAATCATTTGGTTTGAGATGTGTAGCTTTGCTCATCTCTCTTTTGAAATGATGTCACATAAAAACAGCTCACTAATGTAGAGTAATTTGAGAGATGCACAGACTGGTTATAACAGTTGTCATAAAAATGCTGTTTGGAGCCCATGTACAAAACACCAAATCCTTTTCATTAAGTAGCATGGGTGTAGCAAAGGAAGTAAAACACATAGGTCTTACATTGGTATTCCAAGACACCAATCTAATGACAGCAAAGTTGGAGACATTTCCAACTGAGACATACATCTGACCAAAAGACCATCACAGAGGACTCATTTGGACATTTAAATCATGCAAGTGCAGCAGTCAGTGTTGTGTGATCAAGAAGAAAGGGCAGGCAATTTGCCAAATGAATTCATGCTTTGGGGTTTGTCATGAAAATATACCATTAACATTCTCAATCTATTTGCATATACCAATGATAAGCACTTTAAAATTTCCTTCCCTATCATAGTTTAATGATATCGGAATAAACTATGAACTCCATATTTCTTTTAAATGTTTTTTTGTATCACTGTCAGGCTTTGAACTGTTTGCATCGGAGGGTCTGTGCAAAAACCAGAATATGATTTCATAATGTGTGTATGATTTCATACACACAAAAAATACCACTGCTTAACCTTTTGGTGGCATTGCTCAGTTTTTGAATAATTGGTAATATTCTTGTAAAACAGTTCTTTTAAAATAGTTCTCAGATGTTTGTATCTGTACATTCAATTAATTAAAACTTTTAGATACCAACAAATAAAAGATGCTTTTTCATTTGATGTAGTTTTCTTGGCAGGTTTGTCAGATTTATGTCTATCATACCCACTGCTACCTGGAAGAATGGAGTAATTCCACTCTCCCTTCATGTTCCCCCATTGCCCTTTATGTCCCTTTCCTGCTTGTCTCCAACCACCACCGTCTCCCTTTTAGAAAGAAAAAGTTAACACTGGTCTCCACCACCACCTTAGGCAGTCAGTAAGTCACCTTTATGCACTCTCCTGTACTACTCAGAAACATGCAAACACTATTTACTATCCTCTTCAAATCTGTCCTTCAGCAAAATACTGGCAGTCCATCAGTGTGCTATCCCCAGCCTGACGTGGCCATATGGGCCAGCTGCTTTCTCATACTCTGCCACTTTCTCTCCAGCAGTTATTTCATGGCCCAGTATCTAAATTATAAGATTCTGGGGCATAGATTGTCTCTTTGGCATGTGTTTCTAAGCGTGTAGCACTTTGGAGTCCTGGTCAATGATCAGGAGTCAAAATGTTGCCAATGTGAGCTGTCACTATCTGTCTGGAGTGGCACTTGAAGGAATGTCATGCATTTCTTGCCACTGTCTTTTCCAACCAGTTCCAGCCCCTTCTGTATCAGAGTCATGGTTCTTACCCTACTACTTGTAGCCTTTAAATCTTTTTAATTCCTACAATACTAGATTTTTGCCTCAAGCAGGGATGTCACTGAGAGTCACAAAAGGGAGGAGATTACCACTTTGCAACACCAGTTCCTGTAGTTCAACCTAGCACAGAGTAAATGCTACAGGAAATGTGTATTTGCTTCTGGCCTGAAACAGAGCAGAGATGGTGCCTAGTGATGCTAGGAACCACTTGAGAATGTGCCATAAACATGGCATGCTTGGTAGTCAACTCACCGAGGATGCAAGATTTTTATAGCCTTTGCAGCTGGACTAAAATTGGAAGTTTATTGCAAAAGTGGCAAAAGGCATATTAAGGATGCTATTCTGCCAAAATGAATGTCTTTGTCTAAAAGAACACCCTAAGAATTTGTTGGAATTCCTGCATTGGCTTTTGTACGTTTTTACTATCATTTGCAAATACATTTATTTGTCCCCAAAAATGGATAGTTTTTGGGCTGTTTCCAAAAGGTGAAATAAATATACAACCTGAAACAGGCAGTGCATCATGGAAATAGAAGCCAAAACAATGATTTTGAGGTATATGCGACTTGGAAAGCAGGACAACAAATTCCATTAAGAAGGGAACAAAAAACTAATTGTGAAAATAACAAGAGAAATATTACTGTTTCAAATCTCTCACCAAATATTTCCCAATATTTTGCAAGATTGAGAAAGTGTAGAGAAAAAAAGATTTGTATTTTTTCTTAACTCTATATAACAAGATCTCATTCTTTATGTCTTTTGCATTTGCATGTTTTTTGAACAGAACAGCTAAAGCTCATTTGTGTAGGAATTTGAAAAATACAATCACTCTAATGATTTTTAAAATTGGGTGTTAAACAATTTTTTAATCAGTCATATAACATTTATTAATTCCTCATAATATTTGTTCAAGTTCTTAATTTTATTAAAAAATCCATTTTGTTTCAAAATATTTGCCAGTTATCTTGTATGTATATCATAACATTAAACAAACATTTAATGTATTACACTAGATCTATTTTTCTATTATTTCCTGCTTGCCGACAGCTGGCAAAGGTAAGTTTTTAGTTGTTTTTCTGTTGCTAAAATATATTTGGCATCAGATCTTCTGTTAGTATTTGGCAATGTTATTTGTACTGCTTGATTCGCTTAAAAAGATGATCAGTCAGGGGTCTCTCTTTAGAATTAAATCTAGCAAATAATTGCATTTTTAAATAAATATTTTGGTTTATTTTTGCCCAAATTGTGTAATAGCAGATACTGTTTTCACAAGTTGCTTTGTGTTCAATAGGGTCACCTTACACATTCTGATCATCTGGATGACTGTGTCAGAATGTTGAATCTGTTTCGTTTGCAACATCCAGTCTCCTGATTTCAAAAGACTTAATTATTTCTTAGTACTTACACCTTCTCTTTTAAATAAGGGGAATCTTTTATATTTGTGTCATTAACCAGAGAAAAAAATCAAGGCAGTTAGTTTAAGGAAGATTTAGCTCTGTATAATTTGTAGATGGTACCAATGGCAAAAAGAAATGTTAATAATTTTCTTTTTTGTCATTGTCTTGCTGTAAGTAATGTCTTGATAAACCAGATATTCATATAAGGAGGAAAACTTACAAGAAATGCAGAAATCAGTCACTGACACATTAAACATAATGGCTTTGAAAGCGTTTTATCTGTATGTGGTCATTTTGGAAACTATAGGTAGCTTCACATGTTGATCAGTACTTTTGGTAATGTAGTCGTGTTAATATCAGTTGTTTATCTTTGAATTAATGTATTTAAATGCATTTAAATTGCACTAATTAAGAGAGAGTATTTCATATACCTATGTAAAAAACATGGGCTAGGTTTTTCAGTAATGTTAGGCTAGTCTAATGGTCATGGAAATACTGTTAATCTATGTAATCACATATGCTACAGATCTTTGAACCATTAAAAATATGTGCTGCTGTTACTCTGGGATGATGGTCTCATACCTTACACCATCGACGTATTGTCATACTGTTTATTTGCTACATCCACCTTGGTGAAATCTGTCACATGGATGTGACTCTTGCTTTGACAATGCAAAGCCAAGTGATATGAATTAGTTTCTGCATCTTTCCAGGATGTGATGTTGCAGATCCTTCAGCTTGAATTAAATAATTCTCCCATCCACAAATACAGCTGAAAGTTGGACTTGACATGGATCAATATGATCTAGGGCTAAATTTCTAAATGTGACTGATTATGTTAGCATCATGCCCACAGATCAATATTGAGTTTTATTATGAACCTGACTCTATAATTGGGTTTAATCAATAAACTTTTGTCTCCTTTCTTTAGAAATTTTAGGTTTATACTATGCAGGTTTTCAAAATTGCATTTAGGATACACTTAGATCTATACTTTTCTGGTAACGAATATAAAAAGACCTAGGTTTGAATTTGAAGGAACAAAGAGCTAAGACCCTATTGAAAGGGGAAGTCAATTTTTAAGTTGATAGGACTGTTCACCCCAGTACAGTCTATAGAATCCAAGACAGCTAATGTGCTAATACATAACTAGTCCTTTTGGGCACTGTAAGGCTTTTTCTGTCCATACTAGATAGATAATTCACATTGAAGACTTTGACAAAACATAGCATTAATGAAAGCAATCACTAGAGCTTCTCTTTTGATAAACCCGCGGGGTTTAAAGGCGTTGAAAGATGCAATCTGTGAAGAACAATAAATTTGGGTCTTTGATTGAAGTGCCATTTGGGATGGTATGTTTTCTCAATGTATTTACACAAAAATGCTGCTCCCTTTTTCAGTACTCTTTGCTGGAAGGTTGAAGGAGCTCTTTGCCATTACTACATTAAGGTTTGTCTCATTAAAAGCCAAGTACAAAAAGAAGGCTGGAAATGACCTAGCTGAAGCCAGTGTGTTCATTTCTGCTCCAGTTTGCCATTTGAGAAGTAGGCTTCAAGCCATGATGGATATTCCTGCGAGTGGTACTTTGATCTGCAGTAAAGATGCTCTTTCTTTTCTGAAGAAATAAATGTGTAAACCTTTTTTTTTTCTTTTTTTTTCCCAATTGAGGGAAGAATATTTTCTGGTTATTTTGCTAAAATGAGAGAGCCACACAAAACCAGGAAATTACAGAATACGTTTTTTTTTGGACTCATAACATTGTTTTTAAATTGTAACATTTGAAGAGCCCACTAGAAAGCAATGCTTTAAGAATTATTTTAATCTACTATGTTGTCTTTTCTGGCAGCCTTTCTAAAGTCTGTTTAAGCTGTCAGTGGGTAGCAATTAGTTTTTCACCATTACACTCCATAGATTGGTATGACAGGAAAGTAATTCAGTAATAATATTTTCAGATTAAAAAAGCAAGATTCTATAATAAGTTACTGCAAGCATCTAGTTATGTGAGCTGTTTCAAGAAAGTTTTTATATGGAGACTTAAATACCATGCCTACGCTTGTGTTTGTAAATCTGAACAAACACTCACATGTATTGTTCTGTGCATTTTTCCTTTGTATGGGCAGATACAGACCGTGGTCAGAAACATGGCATGGACGAGTTTATTTCTGCTAATCCCTGCAAATTTGACCATGCTTCCCTCTTTAGACTGCTTCAGAGGCAGACCCTGGATCACAGATTGAATGACTCCTATTCTTGTTTGGTGAG